GATCAAACTAGATAACTGCATTAATCCTGATCTGGTTAAGAAAAAATTGGGAAGTTTAAAAACTGATAAGGCTTCTGGGCCAGATAATATTTCCCCAAGGGTTTTGAAGGAGGTTAAAGATTGGATATCTGAGCCACTTACTACAATTTTTTGTGAGTTGTTGAATAGTGGGAAGGTACCAGAGGATTGGAAGTTAGTTATTATAGACCTATTAGTCTTGCATCAGTTGTGGGAAAAGTCGTGGAAAGTCTGTTAAAAGATGCTTTGCAAAGTCATTTAACAAAGTTTAGAATTTTATTTGATAGTCAACATGGTTTCACTAAGGGAAAATCTTGCCTTACAAATAATTTTACATTCTTTGAAAAGGTTACTGCTTATGTTGATGAGGGTAAGGGTGTAGATTTGGTGTATCTGGATTTTCATAAAGCATTTGACAAGGTGCCACATAAAAGGCTTGTAACAAAATTAGCTCTACAGGTTTGGGGGATAAGCCATCCAAGCAGTGTGCTGTTGCTAGTGGTAGGACAAATAGGATTTTAGGTTGTATCAACAGAAATATTGAATACAAGTCTAAAGAGGTTATAATTTTATTGTACAGGTCACTAAGGTAGAGTGGTCATAGTACATTTTTCTAGTTTCCTCTTATTCATAATTAAGACTATCATTAATTGCAAATATAATTGTAACATTTTAGCAGCTCTTTTGGTACACATTATTACATAATTGTTAAAGAAAAGGTAAAATTATCTTCGATATGACAACATGTAATTGAAGTGAAATGAAACATTTGTTGGAAATGGTAAGTGGAAAGAAAACCAAGAAGTAAAAGACAGGAAGCTGAAATAAGGTTAAGAAGGAAGAGACAAAAATAAAAGAGAGGAAGAACCAGAAAATTAAAAATGAAGAAGGAAAACACAGAAAATTGGAAGAAAGAGACTTAAATGGGAATTTTAAGATCAAGGGCAAAGAATTATAAACACAAATTAGTTTCACTAAAGACAAGATCATGTCAAAAGCACACTACCATTATGTCCTGCATGCTTCCCACAGTTCATGTAGTGTATGATGATGGCCCTTTTGAACACTATATCTTTGTATGGAATAGCATGAATGCTGGCTTCATTCTTCAGTTGCTTGAGGTATGTGACAGTTGAATGGATATGTTCCAGAAACAATTTGTGTACACATGACTTGTGTTTTTTTTCATACAGAAATTCATATTGTTTGGGTTGCATTCTGTTGCATAGAGCACATAAACAGCCTTTTTCACAAACCTTTTATGTTTGTGGATTCTCACCTTTTACAAGATGAAACTTTGCTTAATTTGTCTGGGGTACAACTTATTGCAGGTCTTGTTTTTGGATGATTCTGTCCCCAAGTTGATCCCTATTCATCTATTTTCCAAGGGATATTCCATCTTGCAAATGTTAAATCCTCAATCTGAACATATCTTTATAATTTGAGTGTATGAATATTTTGCATCCAAGAAAGACTGTTATCCTTCCCAAAAGTGATAAACTTTTGGTGGTATCACACTACATAAAAAATGTCAAACAATATCAAAAATGTAGTTCTAATGTTATATCAGCTGTGATTCTCATGTGACATGCTGGTTTGTGTGTTGAAACTTGTTTCAGTGTAACCTACTCAACTCTCTGTAATACTTATAAAACAACCAAGTTACAATATGTAACACATACCATTGAAAATTTATAAGTCAGTGCACTGTAAAGTAGTATTTACTTTAATAGTTTTTAAAACTAAGCTCATTAAATTTTGTTGTATTTTGCTTTATGAGAGAAGAGTGATTAAATGAGGTACTTTTTTATTCGATCCAGGAAAACAGTGGATTTGATAGGATTGAAGTTCGAGATAATGGCCTTGGGGTCAGTAAAGGAGATGTACAGTTCATGGGTCAACCTCACTTTACTTCCAAGATTTCTTCCCACTTTGATCTAGATACCTTGAAGACGTACGGTTTCCGTGGAGAAGCTCTGGGAGCTTTGTGTAGTGTGGCAGATGTAACTGTTGTCACAAAAACTGAAGAAGACAAACTTAGTTTTGTTTATACACTTGACCACTGTGGAAGAATTTTGTCTTCTAAACCATCTCCACTAGGGCAAGGCATGAAGTGATTCTTACTTCCATAGCATTCTCCTTAAAGAATAAAGGAATATCTGTTTATAAATATATATAATGAAATATTACTTTATAAGCTGATAATAATGATAATAGTTTTAATGACTGTTAGTTATCAATAGCATAAAGGATGTAAATATGTTTTTCTTCAGAACCAGCTATCATTGTTCACAAAGCAGTGGAAAATAATTAATTCTTATATTGGCTGTATTTGAACAGATAAGTTAATATATGTGTATGGTGTACAAAGGTTGCACTTATGCAAAAAAAATCTGTGTATCTAACCAAAAAGCAATAAAGATGTACATAGCCATGAAAATTCTGTGCATTTAACATATCATATTTTAAATTTTGGTATAGTTAATTGCATATGCTCAGATGTTCTGGCATAAAGTTAAAACTATGTAGCTTTCAAGCAGATGAAATTTAACACACAAACATGTTCAGGAAGGAAAAGAGCATTTAAACAAACTATAATATAATTGCAGATCTGTGGTTGTTCCCACTTCTCATTAGATTCTTTTGTTCATCCTTACAGAAGCTTGAGGTAGCAACTTTCCTATGAAACCACAGATTCAGCTTAAATGTCTATTTACTCTACACTTAGACAAATAGTGTATAATCTGCTCCATCCAATTATACTTAAATGTTGCCTATAGCTGTTTCTGATACAATTACTTATCTCCTTTCACAGTTGCAACTATTCTCAATTTGACTGCCCTCTGGTGCACCAATTTTTGCTCCCCACTAGCCTTGAACTCCCACCTAATTCCAATGTATACCATATGGTTCAGCTGTGTTTAATTATGCAAATTAACATACACAACTCTCCTATAGCAGCTGATTCCCTCTTTGCAGTTGAACCCAATCTTTACTTCTCAATTTGATACGACTGTGTTGACACATTTGGCTTGTGGACGTCACTGGTCAGACACGTTTGTCATCGACATTCAGTTCACTGCATTTTCTACCACAAAACTTGTGTTTTTTTATATACTAACTGTTTCTCCATTCCCAAAACATCAGCTGCCCGCAAAGGCAATTTTGCCTTCACCCCTATTTCCCTTCCCTATCCTACATTTACTCCTGTGTCAGTTGCATGCTTTACAGTATTACATCTCCTGCACAGCCCCTTTCTGTGGCTCTCACTCCCTTTTGTTTATCTATTGGAATCCATCCATTTTTCATGATATTTCTCCTATCACCCTTACTGGTTGGATTGTCAGGTTATCCATATTGCATATTCCTCCTTTTCTCCTGAATCTTGCCAATTGTTCTGCAATTTGTCCTGTCATATCTATCATCTCATGGTGTCCGTAGCTGCTTATTTCCATCATGCTTTGGAGGAGATTATCCAGGTCAGCATGTGAACCACTCCCCACACCTCTGTGTTGCACTACTTGCACCATCTGGTGGATTCCTGCTCAGCCAGATATCATCTTCCCCATGTAGCCGTTCTCCATACCTTGGTACATCTCTGAGTGGGTAAATTATTGTTATTTTATTTCTCCATATCTTTTTTAAGGGCCTACTTTAAATGTTATGGATCCTGCTCTGTGGCAAGTGGTGTCTGTCCAGGTATGCTCCATCATGAGATCTTTAAGGTCTATTATGCTCACTGTTGAGACAGGATGTTCAAGACTGCTTGCAGGTTCTTCCTCTTCCCTTCTGGTTCATAGATCTGAGGTGAATGATTGTGAGACCACCTTCTATCAGGGGCTGGTCATGTTCCTCCTAGTGCCTCTGGTCTGGACTGGAGTTGCCCACCCATTTATGGTTTGATGCACCCTAGCAATTCTACACACATTCCTCTTTTAGATTTGGGATGATAACTTGTTCCACCCTTTGTTTGTGATATAACACTAATTGGCTCCACTTGGGCAAAGAGTATACTTGATTCAGATGTGGTGCAGTTTCCCACGGGTGTGTTTCCTTTACATAGAGGTGGCACACTCTATGGGTGCTCTTAATACGCTTTTGAAGGGTGCTTATCTAGGTACTTTTACTCCAGTTCCTCCACCTGCTCAATGTGGGATTCTAGTTGTAACTGTGAGAAGAGTTAATTGGAAGATAATATTTTCCAACACTGAAAATATATTTCCAATGGATACTTACTTCTTCTCACACTTCTGATCCATTATCCTCACTTCTGGTGTTGTTTTTTATGCCTAATCTCAAAGTGAAGATTAGGTTCAACTGCATAATGGGAATCAGCTGTGATAGGAGGGTGTGTCACACTCTTATTGGTGGAGGGTTGTCAAATGTGAATTTACATGCTTAAATGCATGTGGGAGTACAAGGCTAATGGTGAGCAAAAATTTGCACACTAGAGGGCAGTCAACTCAAGAATAGCTGCAATTGTGAGAGGAGGTAAGTCTCTATCAGAAATATATTTTCACTGTAGGAAAATATTAACTTTCAAAGTTGTTATTCATTGTTAATTGTTCATACCACATGATGTGACATTGAAAAGGGTGAGAATGATGCCTACAGTAATACAATTGCTAATAGAGAAGGAAAGTAAGGTGAGAAACAAGACATGGATATGTATACTTTCAAAAGATGATAGTTTTTTAACAAATATAAACTAATACTTTGAGATAGAAAAAAACTAAAAAAAATCAATAACTGTTTTCACGCAATTCTTCTCACAGCTGTGCAGAAATTAATGGTGGAACTTTTTGCTTTTTTTTTGAGATTGCACTAAATAAATGTAAAATGATAAAATAACAATTGTAAACAATTTTTGAGGGTGTAATTCTTATAACTTATAATATCATGCACTATTGTAAATATTTTTCCAAACATAACATGTTTTGAAATGTATCACCTCTTAGTATAGAAATTATAGTGATCGAGCCAGTTAACGAAGCCAACTATATGTATGAAACACAAGATTAATGGGTTAAGTCTTATTAGTTGATAATATTTTAATACCTTTTTTTGGTTAATTACCTTTTGGAATAAATTTAGGTTGAAATAGTTTAAACAAAAAAGTATATATTGAGAGTAATGAAAACAAATGTTTGGAGGAATTTTCATAATAGCACTACAACAATATACCTCTCATATGTATGGCATATTAAAAAGTAAGCAAAAAGTTATAATATTTTCAAAATGAACTTTGGAGCCATCTTAAATTATATAATTTTGAAAATTTTTGATAATTTCCTCTGCAAAAAAGACCATAGATGAGCATAGGTGTTATATCTTGTCCATATTTTTGTTTTTTGGTGTGTTAGAAAAGTTCATAAGTTAATACATTTTTTCAAGGTGTTAGATTTTGAAAGTATTGTAAGACTTGAAATTTTTTTCTTTCTTCAGGGACAACAGTAGCTGCAACCAAACTTTTTAAGAATCTCCCTGTGCGGAAACAGTTTTATGGCTCAGCAAAGCGAAAAAAGGAAGAAATTAAAAAAGTTGAAGATCTTCTCATGGCTTTTTCTATAATGCAGCCAGGTTGAAATTGTATTTATATACATAATTTTCTTTTGTTCATCTCATGATTTTTGTGCCATTATTTATCTTTTGTGTTTATATGTTGATAACATTTTCATTTTATGAGTTATCATAATCTTCAAGACTGATCTGTAGCAGCTGCTTCAGTCAGTTCCAATATATATGGTATTTCATCATTCTATATTTACTTAGAATTTTCAGAGTCTCAACTATGTTATTTAGGATCCCCCCAATAAAAAAACAAACAAATATTAAACAACTTTAGAATTGTGGTATGAACAAGATTGTTAGTTAGTTTTTTTTAAAAAAGAGAACTTGCTCTTAAATGGATAGCCAAAATAATCAATGATATTTTAAAGTATTAAGTTTGTTGGAATGGGCCAAAAAAAAGGCTCCCACTTTTAATCTATTACTCTATGATGCTTACAAATATCCTCTAAAGTTGAGTTAGATTTATTTGAGTACCTAATTGCCATTATTGAGTGTTTCACAGCTTTTGAGACTCCCAATGTCATTGAAAAGTGTTGCTGAGAACTAGCTAAAGAGCCAAAGTGTTCATCTTTATTTTTTCTTTTCCTATACTAGCCAGAACATATGTGAAGTTTTTAAAAGGCTTTAGTACAACAGTAAATAATTTTAAGAGTACTTAGGAGCAGACTATCATTAACCATGGTAGTGCTTAATACAAGCTAAAAAAAGAATCATAATTCTGGTGTAAATGATGTTATGTTACCCCTTGGAGTTAGCTTTCTTACAGAAATATAGTGTTCCTTCAAAAAGCTTACATAGGTGTCAAAATTGGAATTACCAGCCAATAATAGATGAAAGTAAGATAACTGTAACATGTAGAATACTCAATCAGTGTCTGTAGGGAGCCAACCCCTATATTATGCATAAAGGAGTAAAAAAAAAATTAATATGCATAATATTTAATTTTACTACACACATTCATAGAATATACTAACTTTCAGTCAAGGGGGAAAATGTCACAAAGCAAGTAATACAAAAAAAAACATTTTAGAAATGTAAAATGATTAGAGATGGCAGTGCTAAAAGAATACAAACATGAATGTATAGATGATACAGTTTTACATTTTTATATGTTCTTTCCTTACTGTAGGTTCCTCAACAATAAGTCAAAAGAAGTCATATTATTAATCATCACTGGTCATAATCTTATTGTAGCCAATTGTATGGTATATTATCACTATCTGAGGTCATTCTACAAGTGCAATGAAAAAACTGACAGAACTGATATCATATTAACAATATATATCACCATTGAATTATAAAAATATAAATGTTCACTTATCAACCTACTTTAAGGAAATTGTTTAAAAAAAGAGGAGAAACAAGTAATAAAAAAATAATTTGCAAAAATTAAGTATGATGTAAGGATGGCAATGCCAAAAGTTAAGAAACAAGGTAGAGATGAATACACAAAGCCTATACAAAAATCACTACATAAGTAGCCATATATTTCCAAGAATAACTTTTATCTACAACTAAGCGTTGAATTTCTGATAGTTTTATGAATTCAGGTTTGTATACTGCTATATAGTCTTACAGTTAATAATAACCATAAGCTTGTAAGATTGACTCAGTACTTATTGGCTACTTATGTAGGGATTTTTGTATGGTTTTGTGTCTTCATCTTTCCCTTGTTTCTGTACTTTTTGGCATTGCCATCCCTACATTATACTTAATGTTTGCATTTTTTTTATTACTTGTGTTATTTTAGGGTTATTAACACTTACTGCTAACCTCTTTTGTTAAAGACTAGCCCCATCTGGCTAACCATTTTTTGAGAAAAGATATGGTTTCAAGCTGCCCACTTATCACTTGAAATAATAATACCTTCAGTGTTTCACAGCAGTGACTATTCATGCACATATGTTGGAATGCCTTGCCTGATCAGAAATTAGTATAAACATGGTATATTTTGTAGCATTCCTCTTGGTGGAGCAGGGCTTTACATCTCATACAATAAAATAGTGTTTCTGAGCATTTACTTTTTTTTTGTCATACTCTGCATGGCTTAATAGGTATTCTTTTTTATTGGTTGGTTACATGGCCATTAAGTTGTGTGGCAGGATCAGTCTTCGATGTCCAAGGACATGGTTCAGTCTCAAAGTTCCACAAACACACATGGATCTTTCATTCATCTGCCAGCAAAAATTTGGGTAGGTCCACACTGTTATAATAATTGTCCATGTATACCCTGTAGTCAAACCCCTACAGGAATTCCAGGAGATCACCACAAATTTGTTGCAGTATTTTGCCAACACAACAGTAGAGGTCATGGTTACAAACATATCCAGTGGCAGACTTTGAAAGAATGAACCATTTCATCCCATATTGGACAGGTTTTTGCAGATTTAAACACTAAATATTACATAACCTCACCATTTGAGCATTCCTTTATCTAGGAACAGTTTTTTTACTGTGGGGTATATATAGTCTTGAACTCAATTCCTTTATCTAGGAACAGTTTTTACCGTGGGGTATATACAGTTTTGAACTCATTTACAAAGTAATCATAAATCGGATGAATTTTATAGTGTTAATCTTGAGAATTTCTGGAACATGCATTGTTGTCATTAAAGTGGAGAAACTTTGACATTGGTAGAAATTTATCTCTTGCCATAGTCTGAGGGTAAAAAGGGGTAGTTTTTTTTATCCATTACATCTGAATCTTGGGCTTTTTTTGCGATCCCAGTTTTGAAAAGAAAGGACAAAAATAGCCATAGTTTGTCAGAAGTCAAATCCTTCCATTGTATGGCATGAGAATATCTTTTTAAATCTTGGTGTTCGTTGAAGAATTTTACAGCATAAAGATTTGTCTCTCTGACAACATTTGTTATCAGTTTATCATTAATAAACAGTTTGAACTCTTGAAGGCAGCTCACTGTATTGTAATGGACAATGCCCTTAGGGCTAGTCGTTGGAGTTCGACTGTACTGCCGATTACACCAAATTTATTTAGTTGAGGTTTGCAGCAGTGAGTGGAGCTCACAAGTCATTAACTCAAGAAGATTTACGGTTAGACCAAAGAAACTGATCCTGAGACTGAGACTGATGTTCAACACAATACATCAAGTTTATTCAAATTTTTATAGCATGAGATACACTTTTAATAATATAGACTTTAATCATTGGTTAACTCATCGTAAACCATGTTCAGGTTAAGAAATACTGATATTCATACATAAAATATTTTACTCTCTTAACTTTTACATGAGTTATTTATAATCTATCAATAATTACATTAATTGATTTAGAGAGAAATGGTTTCATTACTTACAACAAGGTTGGCCTGGTAAAACATTGGAGATTAGATACTTTCATGTTCACAGTTTCTGGACTATCAGCAATTCTGGGAGAACATTGATTCTTCCTGGAGATCTACTGATTTTTAGCTCCAGACACAAGTTTTTAAACTATATTTTTTTTGTATTCTTTCGACTTTCCAAATAGTATTCCTAACTACCCTCAAGTAGTTCTAACACTTAATTGGTCAACCTGTGCAACTTCCTGGGCTATTCCAAAACAAGAACCAAAACTCTCAAGTAATTGGTTACTGTGATGGTGAGTGCTCCTGTTGCCTTTTTACTTGTACTACTACACTGGTCTGGAGTAACAGATCTTACATCAAAGCATTAATTTGAGATGCTATCATAAACCTTTTAGTAGCCTTTACTGTAATATTAACTTGGTATCAGAGACTTATCAGTCAAACTCATAACCAGCGTTTTTCTCAGCATCCTTGTTGTAGCTTCATTTTTTATAACTCTTAACTCGTGATTATCAATACAACTTAACTAGCTAACTATATTTTCCTAGCTCTTGACCTCATTTTGTAATATAGGCATCTTTTACTTGTGCCATTTCTTCAGGTATATGTTCACTCAGAAAGTTTAGAAAATTGTTATAATTTCTTTCTTAAACTCTTTTAAAATGCTAAAAATACTGAAACAATTGTAAAATTCCTGCAAAAATATCCAATTGCTTCAGTATGATCTGGCTGTATGTTTACACCTGGAGTACCAATGAACTGATGTAAGCATGGAGGTCTGTCTAAATTAGTCTAGTCTCTCACCTGATTTTCATTTCTCACCATGGGGACAACCTCACCTATGGCCAGGTGCTTGTGCAAGACCAGCTGTAGCACCATTATTACCTACAGTGTTAGGCTTACATAGATCAGCACTTGTATTTATGCCATCTGTGTCCACATCATGCAATTCATTGCTATTATTCGAGTCACTTTCATTTTCACCATTTATACTATATTCCTTGGAATCTTCAACATCTTCTGCATCTGATTTATTACTAAATCACTAATCAGTGAATATTTCCTGGAAGTTCTCTTCAGCAGAACAATGCGAAGCTTGTTTCATGGGCACTGCCATTTTGGAAGTCCTGGAAGCAATCCAAAAAGTCAAAGTACAAAACTACCATGATGAATGAAATAAAACGAAGGCTGATTAATGTATTTTTCAAAACACTCATTATAAGTTCATGTTTCAATTGACAGATGGTGCAGCATGCACAGCACTTTAGCATAAGTAAAAAACCGAAGATTCTCAGTTAACTGCATGGAAATATGTAGATTCTCATATATATATATAGCAATAGAAGAGTTAATACAAAGATTATAAAGTGCTATTTTACAGTTATTATTGCATATGTTATTAACTGTAGTTCACATTCAGGGCAGAATATTTTGTTTATTTTGAAAAGCATGCAAGAATCATCATATTCTTGTTTATTGAACACTTATTTGCTTCTACATAAAGTGAGCACTTTTGATTAATTTCTGATTAACAGTCATTTACAATTTTTCGTGTGTGTATTTCTATGAATGTTTCTAGATTGAACCTTAATATATTGTGTATAAATTCATTTGAGATATTTTTTATAGATGTCTTTTTTTGTTCATATTTTCCATCCCCTGTCTTGTTTTGTATACATAAGTACATTGTTTTAATGGAGGTTATAGTAAACAATCTCTATTTATCAAATGATTCTTTTCTTATTTGAACAATTTATACAGCAGTAACACTTGCATAACTAATATTTTTACTTATTTATTTTCAAACACTGTATATTGTATACATATGCTTGGGCGAAAACCTATGAAATATAAATGCCACACTTCAGTAATTAATGTGCTACAATTTTTTTATTGTGCAAAATGATAATTTTTATAATGACTAAATATTTCATTATTTAAGAATTTATTTAGAAATGTAGTACTGATATATAATAAATCTGGATTCATTCAAAACGCAGTTTTGAGGAAAATTGCAAAAGCATTTAATTGTTATTAAAACTTAGTAATTTAATTGCAACCATATTGGTTGCTTATCCGTTTTTACTTATAATTATGAGTAGCCACAAGCTAACATTTTTTAGTGCAGCTATACACTTAAATTTTTGTTTCTCTTGATTATATTTATCATTATAAAGGTTCAGCAGTTTGTGTTTGATTGAAATTCAATGAAGTTAGTTTTTCCTATTTGTAATTTTCCTTTTTTTGTTCAGGTGTCAGGTTTTCACTTTATCACAATCACAGCCTTATCTGGCAGAAGATTGCAGTGCCTGACTTCAGATCTGCTTTGATTCAGACTTTAGGAAATTCTGTGTTCAACATGATGATATATGTTAGTAAGAAAGATGAAGAAACTAAGGTAAAATCAACATAATAGTTAAATTGGAGAGAGAGAGAGAGAGAGAAAAGTGAAAAGCTTCAATTTTTAATTCATCTGTGTTGTAAAAATTTATAATTATGTTTTTGAACATATTGAAGGTTTTGCAATACTACCTGCAGATTTTTTATTAACACTTTAGTTTTGTGTATGAATTATATTACAAATTATGATTTACCGAACTTTTAAACAATCAGAAGCATATATAAGTTACACTTAAAATTTATAACATAAAATAAGGCTTAACTTATAGAAATTTATATCAAGAGCATGAGAAATTTCATAGTCGGGTAAGAGCAACAAACATCAATCAATCAAACAATGTAAATGTATGAAGGATACAATAAATAATCCAAGATGTAATAAGCAAATACTTTTACAAAGTGTTTGAACAAATATTACTATCTAGTCTCTAAGTCTAATAAGGCAGAAAATTTCATATTTTTTATTTTTAGCTGTACATAAGGTTAGAAAACATAGAAAGACTGGATGAAATTAAAATTTTTATTTAATTTTGTTATTGTTGAATTATTTAAGATTTTTTTAGAAGGATTCCTTCCGAAACCTGGTACATCAAGCCAACAAGCATGTAGAACAAATCCTGATCGCTGTTTTGTGGCTGTAAATCGACGTCCTGTTCATTTAAAAGAAATTGATAAGGTAGTGTTCATACATGTAGTAAATACCTATCTGTACAAAATGAAGATCCATATAATGTGTTTTGTCCAACAAACTGTTTTTAGTAATAAAATATCCAGCATGTGCATTATATGCATGAATTAATATAATGAAAACTACCAAAACACGGTAGTACTTTGTTGGACATATATTATTTTCATAATTGTAAAGTTTTTGTATTAACCCAAAACTTTAATTATTTGAAAAGATGAGAAAATACCACTAAATAATCTTTGCAGAATAAATATTTCAAAAGTATGTAGCTTAAATGATAGTTAAACAAGAAAATTTATAGAACTTTCTGCTGTATAAAAATACAATTTCCATTATAGTGAAACAAATAAATAAAATTTGTTATTTTAAAAAAAGTATTCTTTTTGTGATAGAAAGATGTGTACATACAAAGATTGTATGAAACACTAAATTTCAGATGTATGCTAGATTAACTATTTTTATAGTATACCTGTGAGCACTAACCCTTTTTTTTTGCAGGATCTCTAGATCCTGTTATCACTATAACAAACATGGTACTAGAATACTTTTATTCAACAGTATCTTTCTTTTTCATGCTTTTTATAGCTTATTAGGCAGCACATATGCTCTTCTTTGGGTTTTGAAAATTCCAAATCACGATGGCCAGTCTGTTTTCTCTCAATAGATGCACCACCTTCCAAGATGGATGTAAATATTGACCCAAATAAGTCAACAGTTCTATTTCATTGTAAGGTTAGTAAAATACTGATCATTTCTTGTATTGTAAACTTCTGTTATTTATTATTTTACCCATAGGATTTTCTCTACAAGAACAACAAAGACTAACCTGGTTGTAAACATGGTGACATAAAAGTAGTTTCAAACTCTGAATTCTGATACAGTACCTTACCTCCTCTCACATAAATAGCTATTCCCATTCAGTGCTGCCCTCTATATGTAAAAATATTTTTTATGCATGCCACAAGCCTTCTATCTTTCCTCCATTAGAATTGACTGATTCCAATGCATCTCTCATGCAAATCATCATGACTTTTTTCTCTTGTTGCTCTTTGTGCGAATCATGATTTTAATAGTTTAATTACCAAAGTTGGATTTTTCTTTACACTGAAGAAATATTTTAATTTACTTAATTTCCCATCCTTTATTTTATTTTTCTCACATCCCATATTCTACATCGCACACAGTTGTTTGATTTATGTATTTCTACAATGAATTCTGAGGTTCATGTTTCCGTTTTGGGTGTTATATCTCTAGCACTATTTTCACGGGCTGCAGGTGGGGGAGACCCGTATTTGGATTTCTCTGCTATTATCCATCGTGAGATTAATCATTATATGGGTAAACCACTAATCCCCCTGAACAAGCCAAACTTGATCAGACTGATGAAGATTTCATAGCCTTTTTACACCACTGGATTTTACTGTTTTTTTTTTCCCTACCCCTCCTGCAGAATCAGTTGGGCTAATACGTCATTTTTCTACATTTCTCAAATATGTTATGTTTTATTCAATTCCCATTTCTCTATGATTCCTTATTACCTCCATGTTGGCTTGTTTGTCATCTTTGGCACTTGCTTTACACATGTGGTCTCACTGTAGTTGGGATTTTCTGGTTGCGATGCAACCTTGTCCTGGGTACTTTTGCCACCTCTTTCTTTTTGGGATTTCTGTATTTTTTTGGGTGATATGTTTTTGATCATGTATGTATGACTTTGAAATCTTGTATGTAATCTGTGCATCAACACTCAACCCTTTCCTCTTTGGTTGCACATTTGTTTCAGTTGGAGCCACAACACACTCATATTCTTTTCCTGTCCTGGTCCTTATCTACCTGTTCCTGTCCCACTTCTAGGGGTTTAACATTCAGCATTGAAGGGAATGTTGCCAACAGTGCCGGAGACTAACCAGAAGGTTCTGGTCCAGTGGGACCTTGACTATATTATATTGTGATCTTTCACTACAGTTCCATGGGTTCTTCAGGTTTTATCAGAGGGACTTGTCATCCAATTCCTTTCCCCACCTTCTTTGTCCCTGATACCATTTTCCTTCCCAATGACTTGGGACCCTGCCACCAGCCTGCATCTGTCCAAAGCAGTACAAGGTTTTCTGTCTCTACAGGTCGTTGCACCTGTTCATAGTTCTCCAGGCAGTTTGTTATCCTTGCGCCAAACTGGCGACCTGTACTTGTTTTTTTCTCACCTCAATCTAATGTTAAATCTGCCCTGTTTTATCTTGAAGTCGTTTTTCACCCTTAGGTGGGCTTTTTTCTTCATTAAACCACTTTCCCTTCCTTCCTTTCCACACCTTTAGCCTCATCCTGATCCAGATAGACTTACGTGTTATTCTCTGTTATATTGCCTGCATGGCTTCCTTCTGTGGTGTCTGTTTCTGCCTCTTTTTTCCTTGGTAACCATCCTCTGTTTGTGTGCTTTCTCCTTCCTCTTTCGCCAGTTGGGTTCGGCTTTTCATTCGATTGACTTCTTCCTCTTTATCTTCCTCCTGTACTTTGTTCAGAGTATCCTCTAACCCAAATTGACACGTTACCTTTTCATTGGCATTTCATCTTCATCGTCCTTTGGAGGTACTTCCTCAATCAGACTGGTGGACTACCCATGATACGTTTGTCTATCACCATTTGCATCAGATTGTGGGTTTCTTCCTCTTTAGGTTATCATCTTCTTCCTGTAATCATTCTAGAATATCAGAATTCAGTGAGACTTTCACCAGGTAAGTTTTTTTTCTTCTTATTTATCCTTTTCATGGGCCCTTTTATTAATGTTCATTGTTTGTATCCTGCTCTGTGGTGAGTGGTGCCTGACCAGGTTCTCTTTAACTGTTCAAATCTGTACTGTCAAGCCATGTTGACTTGCATATTATAATTCCATGGCCACGCAACACACACTGCAGAGATGGGGTGTTCCACAAGATTGTTTGTAGGTTTATCCTCGTGATACAATTGTTTCATAAGTTTGCCCTTACCCGGACTGTACCCACCCATGGACTACATGGGTAAAGCAGAAGGTGATAGCTGCCCATCCCTGCCATGCCTTGTATTGAATAAATCGGTATGGTCTGCTTTTAAAAATAGCATTTCAGGGTCACCTATTGCCCTGTCTCAGGTGTTGTCGTTCCTTCAAACTTTCCACCATATTTTATCCCCTTTTCTTGTAGTGGAGTTTGAGAGTCCACTTTCCAGTTCCACGTCACTGGGGTGGTGGACCATGGAGGCATCCTCCTGAATGGGTCAGTGAAATACAAACAAAATATAGAAATGATTATAAAACCATTCAGTTGAGAGTAGGGCAGTGGTGTTCTGCTGGTGTAGATGTCATGATATCCTCCAATATGAAACATAAAAACAAATTGGGGGGTGAGATGTCCAAATTGCAGTTCACCCCTTTGATTGGGATCCCTCATCCTACCCCCACATGGATTTAGAGTAGAACCAATCAACACAAGTCCTCACACATGTATTACAGATGTCTATATTCCTTTGTCATTTATACTGTATCAGTGTTGTGGGTCATGGTGGAGGTAATTGTGGATTGTTACGGTTTTTTCCCTTTCCTCTATCCCTCAATGTTTCTTATTCTGAGGATATTAATGTGCTTGGGGTGGTTCCAGTCAATTTCACTTTTGAGGGAAATGGTTTACATTATGTAGACATCTTTTCAATACTGGATGTCTGTTTCCCAGATTGATCTATCAATTTATCATACTCACAGGAGCTCCATTCACGAGTTGGGTACTAGATTCCCTACGGTCTCATGAATTTGGCGTGAAGAGGGTATGATTTTCTTTTCTACTCCTGCCAGATGGCTGGGTTTTGGAATGTAGTTGAATTACAGACAATATGATCCTCATTCTTCCCCTGTATGGATGTTGGTTCCCAACAGCATGGGTTTTGGATGTAGTTGACTTACCATGTACAGTCCGTTGTACCCCAGCCACTCTACACCTGGGGGCACATCCTTTTCATTTCACTCACTTTTATAATTTCTGGGATTGAGTTTCATAAATATTGCATGAGTTGGATCACTTTCCGGCCATAGTTCTCTCCCACTTGGATGTGCTCCTCTGTTTTCCACCCATATATGTGCAACATCTTTCTATGATGGATGAAGAGTATACCTGGTTCATCACATCAGATCTTAGAATCTGACTGTATCATCTTAAGGAATGTCATTTGGATGTTTTTTTCCACCTCGTGCTGTTCCCTCCACCTATTCAATGTGGGATTCTAGCTATATATATAAGTGGATTTAATGTATTGTATCAGAAGTTATAATTTCCCTACACAAAAAATGTATTTCCAATAGGTACTTACCTCCTCCCACCCTTCCTCCCAACTGAAAAACAGTGCTTCCATTTTCTGCCACAATTGTTAGTGATAGTTACGTAGAATTGAATAGAGGAAGCCACATGCATCATGAGAATATGTTGCACTCTTATTGGTGGAGGGTTGATGCATGATGATTTGCGTGACAGATGCATTGGAATTAATCAAGTTTAATGGAGGGGAGGTAGAAGGATTGTGGCATGCGTAAAAAATGTTTTGAATATAGAGGGCAGCACTGAACAAGAATAGCTATTTATGTGAGAGGAGGTAAGTACCTATTGGAAATGCATTTTCAGTGTAGGAAAATTATAACTCTAGAGAGAGTGCAGTGTGTCTTCAATGTGTTTGTTAAATGTTCTTTCTGTAGCAAATAAAAAGTGT